GGCTGTTACCAATGTAACGTAGGAACCGGTGTCGAGGAGGGTCGTCGTGACGGACACGATGCCTTCGATCTTGGCTTCGCGGCCGAGGGACTTGTTCGCGCTGCATTGAAGCTTGGTCACCTTCTTGTTTCGTGCGCTATCCCACTTGTCCATTTGATCCTTGAGCAGGCGCTCGGATTCGCCAGGCGCGCACTTGGGGCAGTTTACCACCTTGTGGTTCTCGCTGCCGCACTTGAGACATGTCGCCTTCTTGCGTTCGTACTTCGCGCTGTCTTGCTCGGGGGCGGGGGTGCGCTGGGGAGGTCCACTGCTGCTGCCAACGCTGCCTTCAGATCGTCCAGGCTTGGATGGCCGCGATGGTGCTGCGGCTGCCGTCGCAGGCGGCGCCGATGTCTTTTTGTCTTACACCGGGGCATACAAATGGTACCCGGCGGTATGCACGCGCAGCCAGTCAACGAAACGGTACACGTTGGACTTCAACGCCTTGTTGCGTTGGAGGGCCAGCTGGCGTTGGACCGACTTCTGCAGGCCAAGCGGCTTGATAGCCTTGACCATGATGTCGACCCACGCTTGGTCGTCGCGCTCCAAGGCTCGCATCAGGTTGTCCAGCATCTTGCCAATGCGCGAGTCGGCGTCCAGGATTGTCGTATCGAACCGGATCGCCGTGGTCAAACGCTTCTTGATCACTTCTAGGTCTTGACGCTCCTCTTCAAACACCTTGCTAAACCATGCGGCCCACTCTGTCCCTGTGACGCCGCGGTAGTCGCGGTTGGCCATGTCCCACATCGCCACACGCTTCTTGGTAAAGACATCCATGCACCCGCTGACAGGCATCACGAAGGGTCTTGTGCCATTGAGCTGGAGGGCGTTGACTTGGGCCAGGTACTTGTTGCACTGGCGGATAAATGTGCGCCGCTCCGACTTGGTCGAGCCGTTGAAGGAGGGCGGGTCAGGGAGCGCCAGTGCGTTGTACACGAAGCCGCGCTCGTCGCCTTGTCCCATGTCGTCGTCATCGGGGACAGGGGGCAGGTTGTTGGCGCCAGTTGGTGTCGCAGCTGGAATCAAATGGCGCGGCCACGGGGGTCGATGTGGGCGCCGTAAATGGGGTGTTGGCGTAGTCATATGGTTGAAACCGCTGGTCAACATCTGGTGGATTACGCCGGCGTGGAGAGGCGAACGGGGTAGTGGCTTGACGGCGCACGGGACGGCCACGTTCGGCTTCTCGGGATCGGGATCGCTCCGTCCCGTTAACAGGGGACAGCGAGCGTTGGTGGTCATAGTCACTCATTGCTTCGGGCGATGAGGCTAAAAAATTCTTTGCTTTCGCTCCCGTCATTATCCGGACGGGAACCTCTTGCGGAGGCCAAATTAAATTGCAAACTGAGGTCTCTTACTACGAATTACTTTTTCTGGTCTATTTTAAGTCTAATCATTTCGTCCAATGAAAATGCGCCAACAATGCACATCTTTCAACCGCACGACAATGGCTACAACCGCACGACGAATGGCGGCCTACTGCACATAATAGAGAGATTTAGCAAACCAGCCATTGCCAGTGCCATAGAACCAGAATCGGCAACGGCAATGGCAAGGCCGTTTTGGGCTTTTACCGATGGGGCCAAGATTGAAACGTGTCGCATCAGCGCATCCGCCAATGGAGCAGTTGGATTGAACTTGCAAAACCGGACGTAATCAGGCCACAAACGCACGCACTGCCTCAACTTCCAAGGGTTGACGACCCCGGATGGTCTGTGTATTCACTTTTTTGGCCCCTTGGAAGGCAGTCGGCATGATGTGACATTGCTCCGCATAAGTCAGCTGCAAGAGTACTTTGAGGCCAATTCGAACATTTTCAATGGCTACTATATTTACGGGGACCCTGCCTATCCTATTTTCGAAATGGATCGTGTCTGGCTACAAGGGCAACAATTTAGACGAGCAAAAACAACGCTTCAACACCGCCATGAGCCGAGTCCGCCAAGGAGTCGAATGGAACTTCGGCCGAATGAAAAAATTGTGGGGATTTACAACCTACAAAATGCAGCAAAAGATTATGCTATCCAATGTTGCGGCGGTGGTTCTCGTGGCTATGTTCATGACCAATTGTAATTGCTGCTACCACGGGGGAAACCAAATTTCATCCTACTTTGGCATGGACCCACCGACACTCAAGGAATACTTGACATCAGAA